ATGCCTTTTCGTGATGCGAAGGGGTGGAGGCGGTATGCGAGAGAGGTGGCCTGGTATGTGCAGGGAACCAAGCACAACCAACGCCGCTACCTGGCGACGCGCCTCATTGGGCGCCTGACTGGGAGTGCCCGCTTGCTGGCTATGTCCTGGCCGCAGAATGAGTTCGACAATGACCTCGGTGTTCTTATCTTCCTGCGGAAGCTGGCGCAGTCTCCTCTTGTGCGCCGGTCCTTGCCGAACGTGGCCGCGATCATGTCTCAGTACTTTCAGTTCAAGCGGCAGCCGGGAGAGAGCATCACGAACTTCCTGTGCGGGAGACCTTGGGCTTTGAGGAGTTTAATGAAGCGCTGGTTCGCTTGAGAGAAGAGAGGCAGGGCACTACGATGGATAAGCAGCTCTTCGGCCTGGAGACCCTCCTGAAGAAGGAGGAGGAGAAGGACGATTGGTGGACCGAAGGTTCGTCGAAGCCTTGGTGGAAGCGTGGCTGGTATGATGGCGAGGAGGAAGACTATCACTCCGAGCAGGCTGGGGCGGAACCTTCTACCCAGGAGGCACCTCTTGGTGGCTATGAGCAGGAAGAGGCGGCTCACCGGCTTCGCGGTGTTTTGTTAGGGAGGTCGAGCGCTTCGCCCGGGGCATCCAGACGGACGATGATACCTTCGACAGCTTCATCTTGGACGTCCTTCGAGGCTGGAGGCTTCTTCAGGCTGCTAGTCTTTCCTTGGAGGAGCGACGTGATGTGCTTTCCTCTACGGCCAATCGGCTCGACTTTGAGTCTGTGTCCAATGCTCTGCAGATTCTGTGGGACGAGCAGCTCTCGGGCGCCAGGCGCCAGAGCAACAATCCCAACTCCCATGGGAATCCTCAGGTCTACCACATGGAGGAGCAGGGCGGCTACGAGGCACAATGGGCCGAGCACGGACAATGGGAAGAAGAAGACTGGTACGATGACCAGTGGGATCAGTGGCAGTACTTTGGCGAGGCCGAAGAACCGTGGCAAGGTGACTGGCCCCAGGGGCCACCGGAGCCGGATCCCGATGCCTTCACGGCCGCAGAACTGGATGATGGGCAAGTGCGCGAAGCACTTCAGGCAGAAAGGGCGGCCGAAGCCATGGCGGCAGAGGCTGCGATGACCTGGAAAAGGGCCCAACAGGCCACAGCGGCTGTGAGAAAGGATCGTGGGTTTGGTGCGGCAGGAGCTTCAGCCTTTTCGGGCCGCAATGAGCACTGATCAGTGCCACAAGTGCGGCTCCTATGGTCACTTTGCCCGCGACTGCAAAGGTCCTGGAAAGGGCCGGCCCAAGGGTGCAATGATGGCGGACTATGAGTACGAGCCGGCCGGCTATGATGCGATCCACTTTGTGGGTGGCAAGGGCAAGAAGAAAGGCAAATCGAAGAGCCACTTCGGCATGAACGAGGGACCGATCTTCAAGGGCAAGGGCGGCAAGCATCCCAGAACCTTTCCGGGCGTGAATGCATATGGCTTGGAGATGCTTGGCTCTGAAGGGGCTACCGGGCAGAACTATCATGTGTCCTCGGAGAGGGACGCTATTCCTCCTTCCTCCGGTCTTTTGGACTGTGGGGCAACAGCCTCTGCAGGTCCGGAGGCCAGTGTTCAGAGGCTCATTGCAGCAGTCATTGAGAAGGACTCCCAGGCGACGATCACCATCGATCAATCCCGTCGGCCATACTTTCGCTATGGGTCTGGGGCGTGGGGCAGGGCACAGTTTCATGTCACTTTGATGTCTCGTGTGAGTGGTCAGCAGCTGCAGTTCGAGGTGTATGCCCTACCAAACCCGCCTGAGTTTGTGGAGCGCTGGTTTAGGCCACACATGTTGGTACCCATTTTGGTAGGTATGAGCCACATTGGAAGCGGTGGAGCTGGGATGATCATTGACTTTAATGACGGTTCCTACTTGAATGCAGCAGATATATCTAAGTTGCGACAGCGTCCTCCCGATGATCCTCAGTACCTGACCTCCAACTCCAAAGGCCACTTCGTGCTCGACATTGTCCAGTACCTCACTGGAGGCCAGGTCTGCGAGAAGGGGAATTGTGCTGTGGTGGTAAAGCAACCGGTGTCTCTTTCATGGTAGTGGTTCTCGTTCCGCAGATCATGTGCCGGTGCCGGGTGCAGACGAGGATTTGCCCTTGCAGTTCATGTTTCCACTTGTGCTGGAGGAGAATGTGTTGACTTTGGGTGGTGCTGAGAACATGAATCCTGAGTTGCGGCGCACCTTCATGCAGCAGATGTTGAAGCGACACACTTGTGAAACCTCCTCGGCGGAAGCTTTCTCCAGCTCGAGGATGAGCGGGCAGACTAGACCCTCTCCTCAGATCGACAACTTCGCCCCCGCGATCAACCATGGCTCCCAAGACCAAGAGCAGCTCACTTCCGGCGCTCGACCCGTCGCGCATGGTAGAAGCGGATCCTCGAGATCCCCGTGCCTTGCGGACGCAGTCGGAGCGATCGGTGGCAACCTTGGAGCCATCTCAACCACTTGACCTGGCAGGACCGCCAGACTTTGGAGAGCCGGCGGAGGCATGAAAGGACCACATGCTGAAGCGCATGGTCGACTTCTTGATTTGGGCTCTACGGCGCAACTGCCTGTTGGAGATCTTCTGGGAATGGCTTGCTGAGAGCCTTGGTTGGAAGGAGCCGGTCATGCAACAACTTGAGAAAGCAGTCTGGTTGCGCAATAGGGATTGGCTTCAGTGTCGTGTTGATGGTTGCCGGTACGGCTTGCGCCTTGACAACAACGGTGTCCAGGAGCACAAGCACATACCGGTGCCGGTGATGGAAAGCCACGGTCGCCTTGATTATCCATGGCGGTTTGTGAGTTCTGTTGCCAAAGCTTGGAAGGATCATTTGTTTCCTTTGCGCCATTTTGGTGCCAAGAGCGTGCTCTACAACTTTGCCGGCGAGGAGGCAGAGGACAACTATGAGCCTGAGGATGAAGAGCCGGCAGCCGTGGACGAGGGTGCGAAGGATGGACCTACGGACGAGGAGCGCAAGGCCTGGGATCGAAAACTCCGTCGGTTCCACACGGCGGCCGGACATCCCTCCAACAGCCAGCTGTCTCGGATCATCAAGGAGGCCGGCAAACCCAAGTGGATGGTGGAGGCGGCAGCCAAGTTCAGCTGCCCACACTGCGAGTCGGCCGTTCCGGGAGGTATGTCATCCAAGCAGGTGCCCCCTTTGTCGACTAGGCCAATTCCAGTGGCTTGGCAACAGGTGGTTTCAGATGTGGGTGAGTGGACCAGCATACCACATAAGTGCAAGCTGAAGTTTGTTGTCTTTGTGGACGCGGCCACTAAACTTCGTGTGGCTGAGCCTTTGTTCCGGTGTGAGATTTCCGAGATGAAGACAGAGACTGGTTTGCAACTGGTGGAGGCTTTCTCCAAGCGCTGGTTGAGTGATAAGCCCAAGCCCGAGATCTTCATCCCGGACAATGCGAGATCTTACACTTCAAAACACTTTCAAGACTTCTGCTCGAGTGTGAACATTTGGTTGGCACCACCCGCGGAAGCGGAGGCCTGGGCACATGGTTTGGCCGAGTCTGTCGTTCAGGATGTGAAGGCGGTGATGGAGCGCATTCAGACCGGCGACGCCAGTCTTCTGCCGGAGACTTGTTTGGCCTTAGCAACGTGTGCCCTCAATCAGACATCCTTTGTCAAGGGGTACTCGTCTTACCAATGGGCCTATGGAAAGCATTTCTCCTATATCGACGAAGATGAGATCACCATGTCCCAGGTGAGAGATGATGCACCCTTTGCCGAGTTCACCCGACTTCTATCTCTACGTTACGAGGCAGAGAACAAGGCCCGCGAGGTGCGAGCTCAACGTGTCCTCTCAAAACTCAAGAACACGATCCAACGACAACCTCTACGCACATTTCATCCTGTGGATCTTGTGAAGGTTTGGAGGCGTGCTCTACCACAAGAACGCTGGAGGCACTAAGAAAGCGGGACGTCATCACTGGATTGGTCCAGGACGTGTGGTGCTGCAGGAGACAATTCAATCCCACATCAGGCGGAGGATGACCCGCGCCGCCACATCATCTGGGTGGTCATTGGCGGCAAGCTCTACCGATGCTCGGCGCATTCAGTCCGTCCGGTGACGGAACAGGAACGAGCATGGCACCATCTTCAGGTGGACGAGGATCCCAGCCGCTGGAAGACTCTGAAAGACATCATCCCGACCAAGGAGTACACCGACTTGAGTGGACAACCTCCTCCTGGCGATCTTCCTGAAGACGGCGATCCTGATCTACCTCGAGCTCCTGATTCTGAGACCTGGGTGCCATCGAAGCGCCTCAAGTGGAAGCAAGCTCCACCTGATGCACTACTTCCTCAACCTGCACCACCACCACCGGTCAATGACTACGGGGTCCCAGATGATTGTTTGGACTACGAGCCCAGCGAGTGCGATGATGGGCCAGATGCTGGCCTCGGCACGGACTTTGGCAACTACGACTTCAGCTCGGGCCCGGAGATGCCTGGCACTGGTGAGAAGCGTGACGCTCCACCGGGTGCGGAGTCCTCCTCAACAAAGAAGCCGAGAGCCAGCGAGACTGAGGATGAGCTGACGCTACACACGGCCCTTCAGGAGAGCGAGCATGCCTATGTGATGGAGTTTGACCTCAATCTGGCGTCACACCGCCAACTCAAGAAGTTCATAAGGTCACCTTCAGCGTATCTGGTGGGGAAGATGCGCGATTGTGAAGTCCGTTGGGAGAAACTTTCACCCCACCATCGCACCTTGTTCTCCCGAGCGAAGACCAAGGAGGTGACCAGCTTCATCCAGCAGGCTGCGGTTCGAAAGTGTCTTGACTTGGCGGAGGAGAAGGAGGCCAGAGACAACGGCGCTGCCGTTGGGTGCTCACCTGGAAAGCGATACCAGCAGAGGAGGAGCAGGAGGCCCGAGCAGATGCACGTGATAATCCACACACGACGGTGGACCCTCATGGCATGAAAAAGGCCAAGGCCCGGATCGTGCTGCTCGGATACCAGCATCCGGACTTGTTGAGAGAGGGGTTCAATTCCAGTGCCCCCGTGCAATCCGTTCTCACGAGGAACCTTGCCTACATGCTGACCGTGACCAACGGATGGCAGCTTGAGGGTTTGGACCTGTCAACAGCCTTCCTGCAAACAGCTCCTAAAGAAGACATGCCCATCTGGACACAAGGTGTGGCAGAGCTTCGCGAAGCTCTGGGCATTGGCGACGACCAGCTGATGCGCGTGTTAAAGGACTTCTATGGCTCGACTACGGCGCCTCGAGGTCTTTGGCAAGATCTACATGCCAAGTTCACGGAGCTCGGCGCTACAAAGATCATGTCCGACCCTTGCATGTGGATATGGTCGGAGCCAGTGGAGAATCCGAGGAACGCGATGGACCGCTACAGGACCATCGGCATGATGGGTGGCCACGTGGACGATTTCAATCGGGCCGGTGACCTTCAGAACCCCAAGTGGCTCGCCATCCGAGCCGAAATCGACAAGGCCTACAAGTGGGGCACGATCAAGAAGGATAACTACCGTCATGCCGGCACGGATGTGATCTCCAGAAGGTCCCATGAGGGCGGCTACTCCATCGAGGTGAACCAGGATCAGTACATCGAGGGGATCCAGGACTTCGAGCTGGCGGCACAGTCTGGACGAGATCCTGAGAGCCCACTAGATGATCGAGAAGTGTCTGCATGTCGTGCAGCACTCGGGGCTCTGCAGTGGGCAGCAGTGCAATCGCAGCCGCTGATTTGTGCCAGATGCAACCTCATCCTTTCGGATCTTTCACACGGACCCAAGTTCAGCTTAGCCCGGGAGATCCAAGGCTTGATTGTTGAGGTCCGTGCCAGTCCTCAAAGACTGATGTTCAGGCCGCTGCCAGATGTGAAGCACTGGCAAGATGTACATGTGATCACTCTCGGTGACCAGGCTCATGCGAACAGGCCCAAAGGGGGGTCTACAGGTGGCATTCTCACCTTCCTCGGTGGCCCGGCTCATGCGCGAGGTGAGCCATCACAGCTAGTGCTTCTGGGATGGAAAACTTGGAAGCTGCAGAGAGTCGCGATAGGCTCTACGGACGCTGAAGTTCAAGCCATGGTTGAAGCAGAGGACATCAATTTCAAGACACGTTTGACGTGGGCGGAGCTCAACAGCGCTACCGTCGATAAGGGCTTCAACTTCTTAAAGGCTGCTGAGCGTGCAGCTTCTGCTGTTCCTGGAATCCTTGGAACCGATTCCAAGGGTGGCTATGATGCTGTGATGCGGCATGAAGGGCCTGACCTTGGGCTGTCGAATGCCAGAGCAGCCATACAGGGTCACCAACTCAAGGAAGGGATGAGACGAGTGAAGACACGTCTCATCTGGCTTGCCAGTGATTTCAATTTGTCAGACGCCTTGACCAAGCGATCCTCAGAATGCCGTAAAAGCTTTGTACAGTTCCTACGTAACGGTATTTGGATGCTTAGGTTCAATCCGAACTTCATTGTTTCGGCCAAGAAGGCCAAACAACAGGGCCTAGATGCTGTAAGTCAACTTCGCAAAGCAACACAGGCGTCAAGACAGAGCCAAGAAAGTTTTTGGACTGGTGCAACATGTATCTTTCATGCTGGGTAACATGTGATTCTGCGCGTTGTGCAGTTGTCTCTTGATCGCCACGTTTGCTTGCAGCAAGGGGCCCCTTTAGGTTCGACTGACGTGAGCCATAGGCGTACGAGAAAAGGTTCGCAGCAGAGCCTTGTTTCCTTCGAGCTCTTGGGAGCTTTTGTTCGGCATCTTCCTATCATTGAGCCCAATCCTTTCGAGAGAGCTGTGCAGGTTCAGTTGCTTGAGAAACCAGTGCAGTGAGCGCCCTCCGCTACTGCAGTGTGTGTGTGTGTGTGTGTGTGTGGGTGGGTGGGTGGGTGGGTGGGGGGGTGGGTGGGTGGGTGGTGGGCGTGGGTGGGCGGGGGTGGGCGGGGGTGGGCGGGGGTGTGGGTGTGGGTGTGGGTGTGTGGTGTGTGGGTGCGGGTGCGTGTGCGGGTGCTTGTGCGGGGGTGCGGGTGGCTGTGTGTGGGTTGGGTGAGGGTGTGGGTTGGGTGTGGGTTGGGTGTGGGTTGGGTGTGGGTTGGGTGTGGGTTGGGTGTGGGTTGGGTGTGGGTTGGGTGTGGTTTGGGTGTGGGTTGGGTGCGGGTTGGGTGCGGGTTGGGTGCGGGTTGGGTGTGTGGGTGTGTGGGTGTGTGGGTGTGTGGGTGTGTGGGTGTGTGTGGGTGTGTGTGTGTGGGTGTGTGTGGGTGTGTGTGGGTGTGTGTGGGTGTGTGTGGGTGTGTGTGGGTGTGTGTGGGTGTGTGTGTGGGTGTGTGGGTGTGTGGGTGTGTGTGTGTGTGTGTGGGTGTGTGTGTGTGTGTGTGTGTGGGTGTGCGTGGGTGTGCGTGGGTGTGCGTGGGTGTGCGTGGGTGTGCGTGGGTGTGCGTGGGTGTGCGTGGGTGTGCGTGTGGGTGTGCGTGTGGGTGTGCGTGTGGGTGGGTGTGTGTGTGTGTGTGGGTGTGGGTGTGGGTGTGGGTGTGGGTGTGGGTGTTGGTGCGGGGGTGGGGGTGGGCGGGTGGGTGGGTGGGTGGGTGGGTGGGTTGGTGGGTGGGTGGGTTGTTTTGGTGGGTGTGTGTGGGTGTGTGTGGGTGTGGGTGGGTGTGGTGTGTGTGTGGGTGTGTGTGTGTGTGAACCTCCCTAGCACATGGGAGCAGAGGGTCACTCCTTTCCGTCGGTTTTTGATGCCATTTTGAAACACATTATTTTGGAAACGCATGATTGTATGCAGGGGGCATGCGGCCATTACGCAGACGCATGCCAACGAAGCTATGCGTAATGGTGGATACCAGACCTGATCAGGGCGTACCTGCACAAAACAAGCTGAGGCCCCTGAGCCAGCAAGATTAGAGGGCCCCTGTGCCAAGATTAGATTTTCAGTTGCCACAGTCGTCGGTTGAATTGACAGCAAGCAAGTACAACATGCCTCTCTCTTTTCCTTTTGCACTCGTGCTCTCGGCCGAATCAGTCAGTGTGACCAGCGTGGGTCATGAGACTCCAGAACAACGGCTTTCCGTCAAGGCGCCTTGTGGTGACCCCTCGTGGGAAACTGGTTATCAACCAGCTGTTCAGCCTTCGTTCAGCTTGATCAGACCTCCCGATGCTATTTTATTTTTCTCTCTCTCTCTCTCTCTCTCTCTCTCTCTCTCTCTCTCTCTCTCTCTCTCTCTCTCTCTCTCTCTCTCTCTCTCTCTCTCTCTCTCTCTCTCTCTCTCTCTCTCTCTCTCTCTCTCTTGCACAGACAGAGGAGCAATGCGTCGACATTGCCCCCCCGCGCAATATTGCGCACTGGGACAAGCACTGTACCACAAGGATGGCCGAGACTTCATCGCACCGGTACCCCCACCACAACACCGGTAACACTAAACCCCAACCCGCCTCGAAGACTAGGGGTGATACCCCCCTACAGACTGTTCCGATCCCCCGTCTCAAGCTGGGCCCACGGCTTTTGTGACCCCATGTTGGGGCACTTCGCACACTGTTCGGAAAGCAACACTTCAACACCATGACAATCAGACAAGCGAGCTCTGTGTGCGAACCGCCGGGGATGCCCCCCAAAGGTGTAAATGACAAACCGACTGTACAGCTGAGGCCCGGGCATCCTGAGTTTGGTAGCAAGACAGCAAAGCGTGTACTAGCTCGTAACTCTCTACCATCTAGAACTTCACAACTCGTGCCCCCGTAAAGGTTGTTGGATCTCCCCGGCAGCTTTAATCCGAATCGTCAGTACGATAGCTTGCGGGGACCCTACGGCGGCTCCCCGGCGGATCCAACAGCCTTCGTCTGGCCCCTATGGGGTATGCTGCCGCTTCTGCCTCCAGCTGTTCTTGAAGGTAGTGCGACTCCGCTACTTCGGTCGCCGTTGGACCACTACTGCTCGTCGGTTTCAGCGTCTTGCTCAGCGGAGGACGGCACATCCAGCTCGGTCATTTCATGACGAAGCCCCCAAAACACTGGCTGCGTCGGCACATTTGCCTGGCTATCTGCCCCCTCGGTCGGACTTGCTTCCGTGTTCTCCTCGACGGTGGAGGGCAGGGTGGCAGCGGGCCCGTCTGGGTTGTTGGCGGTCACCCCCTCGTTGTTCACGGCCGGCTCGGCTTCCAGCCCCCCAGCGGCGGGGGCGGTCTGTTCGCTATGTGGTGGTTCCCCGAAGAGGCTCGGCAGCAGATCGTCTCTATCTTGGCTCTCCAGCTTGCCTTGGCTGTCCACCAGAAGGGCTTCTTTCTTGTCCTTGTACCCATTGCAGTAGTAGTGCGAAAAGGTCTACTGCGGACCAGCCCCTCCATTGCTAAGGGCTTTCAGGTGCAAGTGTGAGTCCGGTGAGATCGGGAGCTCAGGAGGCATAGTTCGGGGAACTCTGCCTGCACCTAGGCTCAACAACCATACGTTCAGCTCCCCCACTACGCGCTTTGCATCTCCAGTTGCTGTGCCGCTTCCACTGCCCCCTCGCCGTGTTCTGGGGTCACTGGGCTGCGGGTTGCTGTTGGTGGTCTGCCACCCCCGGGACTGCTGTTGCGCGGTTGTTTGTGCCCCCCTTGCTGGGTGGGCTGTGTCGGCTGTGTTGCTGAGCTGCCCGTTGATGGTTGCAGCGGTGGTGACCCCGCTGTTCTACTGCTGGCGGCTCCCCCCACTGGGTTCTCTCTCTCTCTCTCTCTCTCTCTCTCTCTCTCTCTCTCTCTCTCTCTCTCTCCTCTCTCTCCTCTCTCTCTCTCTCTCTCTCTCTCTCTCTCTCTCTCTCTCTCTCTCTCTCTCTCTCTCTCTCTCTCTCTCTCTCTCTCTCTCTCTCTTTGCAGACGGCATTTGCATCTGACACGAGGGCAGTTGCGGTAATTGACGGCTAGTGTGGTAACGGGCGGCTAATGCACAGGTTTCTCGCTATTCTGTCCTCGCACGATCTCTTCTTTCCTCAGTGATTGCAAGTGCTTGTGTTTCTGACATGAGGGCAGTTGCAGTTATTTGCGGCCAGTGCAAGGGAATGAGGCTTCCTCCGGGAAGTAATCGGCCTCTCTTCTGCTCCTTCGACTTCTCTCAAGACAACAAGGCACCGACAGCTTCACGTTTGCTTTTGCGTGTGTCTACGTTTCACCAACATGTGGCATGAACAGTACGCTGCCCACCGCCCGGCGGGACACAGCCATCAGCCGGCTTTTCTTCAGCAGCTGCCGATGGAGGAAGCAACATGGACACCGGCATCACCATATGCACCGGTGGCACGGCCACCCATACAGCAACACCAGCCCCCGGCGTGGATGCAACATGTTCCGGGTATCCATCCGCCGAATGTGGCCCCAATACAGCAGGTACAGACAATGCAGCAAACCATGCATCCCACAGACAATTTTCAGAGCTCACCGATAATACCCTGCAACCCTTGCGGGCAAACAGCTCCGGTCCCACAACCTGCCATGTTCTTTCCACACTCCAGCATCACACAACCACAAATGATGCAACAGCCCCCACCTCAGCAAACCATGCAGCCACATTCCTCATCCTACTTTCCCGCCATGCAACATTTGTCCCCCACCGCACCATCACTCAGTAAACCATGCCGCAGCCTACCCCCCACCCCACAACCAACACTTCCTTCACATCGCATCTTGCCCCGCAGGGCATCACGGCTACTTCACCTTCACCTTCACAAAACCAACACACCCCATTAAGCCCTCCCAACATCACAAGCACCCACAACCCACATCCAGCTCCTTCTCCGATTCCCACAGACACCAATCCTTCAAACCCACCAGCTACAACAACACCAGCGCCCAACACCACAGCAGGCGACCAGGCCACTCCGGTTCAGCAAGCGACTGGATCTGGGGATACACAGCGCCCCGCATCCCCCCTCCCCCGCCGACGACATCGCTCCCACACTCGCAGCAGAGCACGAACTGCAAGTCGCAGCCAGCATCGACGCCACAAGAAGCACCACAAGCGACACCAGCGATCTCACAGCCGCCATCGGCGTGAAGACATCTCCGCCACAAGAAGACGACGCACCCGCCGATGCAGCAGGAGCAGGAGCAGTCGTGAGCCCTCGGGACCCCGGGCAACCACTGTGGTACTACGCAGTCACTCTACAGTGCAGGCCCACAGGGGCGACGAAGACCGGTGGCACTATCCAACGGAGGATACACTATCAGCAAGACGATCGCAACGATTGCCGACTCCCCCAGCCGTTCCACAGCAGCACCATCGCCAGCATGGCGACACCCCCCGCAGCCTTGTCTACAAATTCGGCGGGTGGCTCAGCAGATTAGGGGACAAGCCGCGTCACCCCATCAACAGGCACCACCAGCTCCTCCATCTGCTCCACGACCGCTCACTACGGCTGGCCAGGATCCACCCTCGATTATTTTTCAGCCACAACAGAGCATCGAGCAATTGCGGAAGGACCGCAGACCTCCGCAAACAGACATTATTCCGTTTTCGGAGCTGTTCGAGAATCAGAAGCCCACGCCTCATGATGTCGAAGAAGCTCAAAAGCTAGCTCAAACATTGATTGAAATTGCAGTGGACACCGACATCAAGCACAACACGCTGTTTGAGTTCGCATA